ACAGCTGCTTTGTCAAAACTCACATCTAAGCCAGGACAAGGCATTTTCTCAATTTGTAATAGTCCATAACTCTTTTAAAATCTAAGTCAATCCTTTTTTCCTACTTTGATGATGGGTTAGGACAGTTGTCCTAAAGGATACTTTACTTTTTTGTCTGACTGTTTCCTCACAGTATGCATAAGAAAAATAGTGTCTCTATGTGTTAGTTTGGGTTTCTATTGCTGTGAAGAGATGGTTAGAGCCCAGCAATTCTTATAAAGGAAAACAGTTAATTGGGGTGGCTTACAATTCAGAGGTTTAGTCTGTTATCATCATGTAGGCAGACACATGTTGGTGTAGCTGGGAGTCCTACATCTTGCAGACAGCAGGAAGAGACAATAAGCCATGGGCTTGGCTTGAGTGTCTGAGACCTCAAAGCCTGCCCTCCAGTACACACTTCCTGCAACAAAGCCACACCTACTCCAGCAAGGTCATACCTCCTAACAGTGCCACTGTCTATGAGCTTATGGGCATTTTATTTCAAACCACCACACTCTCATTAATTTCAAACTAAAAATCTTCACAAGTAAAATAACAACTAACTCTCCATCTGCTGGCTCTATGAACTACGTCTAGGTATTTCCTATAAGCAGAATATTATAAAATGTATCTTTGTGTGTATGTGCCTGGCTTATTTCACTTAACACAAAGATTTTAAGTATCAACCATGTTCTAGACATCTATGGATTTCATTTCTTAAGGTCAAATGATATTTGATTGTACATGTATGTTATATTTTATTTACTTATCCATTTGTCCACATGTTTTGACTATCATGACTAATACTACCAGTATTGATGTATAGTCACCAGTTTTCTGCTTTCATTTCTTTTGCTACATGTCATGTAGAATTATTTATTTTTAAGAATCATCGTGGTTTTCCACAGTAATATTTTATAGTCCTACCTGGGATTCTATGACAGGCTGCTGGTCTTTCTAGGGGATCACTCCATTTGTTCCCTGGCATCTGGGAAAGACAAAAGACCGCCTCTGAGAAGGAGAAAATAAGAGCTCTACCCCTTCAGGTTGGTACAAGCCCAAGGCTGGGAGTCTACTAAATGGGTGCTGGCTTGGGTGTTTTATAGGCCCTGTTCAGATAACTGCCCTCATAGTGTTTCTCCTCATAATGTCTTCAGTGACAAAAGGCAGCATCTCAGGCAGTAGGGTCACTTCTGCTTTCCTTGTCTACCTACATCCGTTAATTCTCCTGCTATCCCACACCCATATTAACAGTAGTCAATTTGTTTCGTTCATACTATTTTATGTTTTTAGTTGATATGCTTATTTTACAAATAAGAAGGTAGAAGATGTTTCTGTTCACATGTACAGTATTTTGACCATCTCAGAGTACTTAGCATCTCCATCATTCCAACCACTTATCATTTCTTTCTGTATCATACTGAAATCCCCTTTTCTATAAACTTTGAAATATACAATAATTATGACTAATCATAGCCACCTTGGAAGGAATAAATTACCAGAAATCACTTGTTCCCTTTAATTGTGTCTATTTGTCCCACCCAACAACCTTCACAGCCTCTGATAACAATACTCTATTCTAGTCTATTCTCTATACAATAAACTTTTTATAGAATCTTCTAGACTCTTTAGGCATTTAAAGTCTTCAAATATTTCATTCCCGAATGGTATTTTATAGTAGCTTTGAGAAGAAGGTGCTCAACCACCAAGTCATCTCTCTAGCCCTTTTCTTGTTGTTGGAATAAAATGTCAGGAAAGTATCTTAGGGAAGCGTGGTAGCTTTCATGGGAGTTGCCTTGGCCATGGTGTCTCTACACAGCAACAGAACAGTTACTAGGATGGGAAGGGATGGTTTTTTTTGTGACTCGTAGTTTGAGGGGACAGTCTGCCATGAGGAGAGACAACTGGTTACATTGATTCTGTAGTGAGGAAGCAGAGAAAGATGAGTAATGATGCTCAACTTCTGGTTTTCTTTCTTATTCATCCCACAACTTGAACCCAAGGAATGGTGCCATTTACATTTATGGTTGCTGTCTTAGTTTGGGTTTTTATTGCTGTAAGGAAACAGCATGACCACAGTAACTCTTATGAAAAAAAGCATTTAATTCAGGGTAGCTCTCTACAGTTTCAGAGGTTTGGTCCATTATGATCATGAAGGGGAGCATGGCAGTGTGTAGGCAGATGTGGTACTGGAGCTGAGAGTCCTACATCTTGCAGGCAACAGGAAGTCGCTGACTGTTGCAGTGAGGGAAGCTTGAGCAAGAGAGATCTCAAAGCCTGCCCACACAGTGACACACTTCCTCCAACAAGGCCGCACCTCCTGATAGTACTATGTCCTTTGGGAGACATTTTCTTTCAAATGAACACAGTTGCTCTTTCCACCTTAGTTAACCTAATCTAGAAGCTCCTTCCCAGACATACACAGGCTTGTTTCCATGGTGACATTAAATCTTGTCAAATTGACAATTAAAATTAAGTATCACAGTAAGTTAACTGTTTCACTTTTAAATATAAATCACTAACCTTGAACTACTTTGCTCTCTTTGAACAATGTATTTCTTGTATTCTTTTTAAAAATTCTATCAGATTTCTTTATCTTAGATAGTCTAGGAATGACAGTATGAAAGAGATTTATGCAAAGAAGGTTGACTACAAGGCTTCTTAGAAACAAATTATGAAAGGGGCCGGCAGAGCAGATTGGGCAAAAGGAGAAGTTGAACTATGAGGGTTGCATAGTGAACCATGAAGTTGGAGAAGTCTCTTGGTTTCCTTGTATGAGGGAAAAAAACCCCAGCTTTCCTCCCCTTCGTATTGAAGTCTTGGATGGCATCTGCTTTGTGGAGAACAACTTCCCAAGAGGAATTGAACTGTGGGTTTTCAGTAGCCAGGAATCTTGGAACCTGGAGGAATAAGTTTCTTGATTCTGAAAAGGGAATGTGAATGGTACTCCGCTGCATTTACTAGAGCCTGATGTAGGTTATTTTGGATTATGTGTTTTTAAAGAAATGACATTCTTTTTTCCCCCTCAATATATGTTTTTATTTAAATTTGAAACATGAATGCTTCACATGTCAATCCCAGCTCTCTCTCCCACCCCTCCTGCCTTGTCCCTCCACCAGTCCCTCCAGCCCCCCACCCTGTCCCTAAATCATTTCCCAGGGAGGGTGAGGCCCTCCTTGAGGGAATCTCCAAAGTCTGTAATTTCATCCAAGGCAGGACCTAGGCCCTTTATATGTGTCCAGGCTGAGAGAGCATCCCTCTGTGTGGAATGGGCTCCCAAAGATCATTTATACACCATGGTAAACACTGATCTACTACCCAAGGCCCCAGTGATTTCTGAGGCCTCCTTACTGACACTGCATTTGTGGAGTCTGGATCAGTCCCGTTAGCCTCTCAGCCATCAGTCTGGGATTCAAGAGCTCCCCCTTGTCCAGTCAGCTGTCTTTGTGGGTTTCACCAGCACAGTCTCAATGCCTTTGCTCATCACTCCTCCATCTCTGTCACTGGGTTCCAGGAGTTCAGTTCAGTGTTTAGCTGTGGGTGTCTGTCTCTGCTTCCATCAGTCCCTGGATGAACGTTCTAGGATGGCATATAAGGTAGTCATCAACCTTATCATCAAGGAGGGGTTATTAATGTAGTCTCTCCACTATTGCTTAGTTTGCCAGTTGGTGTTATCCTTGTAGATCTCTGGAGATCTCACTAGTGTCAGCTCTCTCCTCAAGCCTATAATGACTTCATCTATTATGGTATCTCTCATCCTGCTCTCCTGTGTTTTTACCTCGACTCAACCTTCCTGCTCCCCCGTGCCTTCTTCTACCCCCCCTATTCTCCCCCTCTCTTTTTCCTGGTTCCCTCTCCCCTCCCCCTATGTTCCCAGTCTGCTCAGGAGATCTTGCCTCATTCCACTTCTCTGGGGTATCATGCATCTCTCTTAGGAACCTCCCTGTTTCCCAGACTCACTGGCACTGGGATTGCAGGCTGACACTCCCCTGATCCATGTCTAAAATCCATATATGAGTACATACCATGTTTGTCTTTTTGTGTCTGTTACCTCACTCAGGATGGTTTCCTCTAGTGCCTTCCATTTGCCTGTAAAATTCAAGATTCCATCATTTTTTTCCCCGCTGAGTAGAACTCCATTGTGTAAATGTATCACATTTTCTCTATCTACTCCTCAGTTGTGGGGCATCTAGGTTGCTTCCAGGATCTAGCTATTACATATAATGTTGCTATGAACATACTGGAACAGACATCCTTGTTGTGTGAATGGGCGTCTTTTGGGTACATGCCTAAGAGTGGAATTGCTGGGTCTTATGGTAGTCTGATTCCCATTTTCCTGAGGAATCTCCATACTGATTTCCATAGTGGCTGTACTAGTTGGCATTCCCACCGGCAGTGGAGGAGTGTTCCCCTTTCTCCACATCCTCTCCAGCACAAACTGTCATTGGTGTTTTTGATTTTAGCCATTCTGACAGGAGTAAGATGATATCTCAGAGTTGCTTTGATTTGCATTTCCCTAATGGCTAATGACGTTGAGCACTTTCTCAAGTGTCTCTCAGCCATTTTAGCCTCCTCTACTGAGAATTCTCTATTTAGTTCAGTCCCTCACTTTTTAATTGGATCCTTTGGTGTTTTGGAGACTTGCTTCTAGAGTTCTTTGTAAATTTTGGAGATCAGTCCTCTGTCAGATGTGGGGTTAGTGAATATCTTTTCCCAATTTGTGGGGTGCCTTTTTGTCTTGCTGTGTTCTTTGCCTTACAGAAGCTTCTCAGTTTCAGGAGATCCTATTTATTAATTGTCTATCTCAGTATATGTGCTACTGGAGTTATGTTCAGGAAGCTGTCTCCTGTACCAATTTGTTCAAGGGTACCTCCCACTTTCTCTTCTAACAGGTTCAGTGTGGCTGGACTTATGTTGAGGTCTTTGATCCATTTAGACTTAAGTTTTGTGCATGGTGATAGACATGGATCTATCTGCTGTCTTCTACGTGCCAATATCCAGTTATGTCAGCACCAAGACGCCATTTTTTTTCCCACTGTATAATTTTAGTCTCTTTGTCGAAAATCAGCTGTTCATAGGTTTGTGGATTAATTTCAGGGTTAAGAAATGACATTCTTATTGAATTGTATTTTCACGAACTTTCTTATAGCAGAGAAATATTGTCTTTACTGTACCACTGAATTTCTCCATTTCTGTTGCTTGAAATCCACAGTTGTTTAGGCTTCTAGTAACCTCCCTTTCTGTCTGTTGACTTGTAAAGTGTCTTCACTTAATATTTCTGCCATAACATATTTCTATAAGCCTTGTGACTTAGCACAATCTTACTGGTGATGCCATGTTTCTATGGATTAGCTGTCCAGGTATAGTAGTTGTAAGTTGTTTGCTTAGGATCTTGCAATTCCTACACAGGTCTGTGCAAAGGCAGACCCCTTTTAGGAGGCATTTGAAGAGGAATTGTTCAGATTGTTAATCCAAATCAGTTTCTTGCCTTTGTAGAACTGAGGTTTCCCCACTTTTATTTTTCAAGGTCATTTCATTAGTTTAAAAGGAAACCAGTAGGCAAGTTGTAAGTCTTCATAGCTTCCAAGAGAAGATGGGGGAAGCAGCTAAAAAGCCATGTTTGCAAGCTCCATTGAATTTGAGTGACGGCAAACTTTTTCTTCTTTTCTAGGATGTTGAAGGTTTTTGCTAGTTACCTTGGCTACAAAATAAAAATTCTTTAATTACCACACATTGAACTTAAAACATAGGAATTAGCTCAAGAATTTAAAAAACTTGCACAAAAATCCAAGTAGATTAATTTTTAGTAGTTGACACAGAAATCTGTTTTCACCTATCTATATTGACCAAATTCAGTTTTCCAACTTTCAGTTACCGTTGTTTTCCTTGACGTGATTTCATTTTAATTATATGTATTAGAAATATCAAGTTTATAATTACGTGTGTGTGTGTGTGTGTGTGTGTGTGTGTGTTTGTGTGTGAGTACCACAGCCATGACACCTGTTTAGTTCTCAGAAGAAAACTTTTTTTGGGGTTGGTCTCTCATTGCACTATGAGTTTCCAGCAGGTTGCGGGGAGTGGAGGTCATCAGGCTCATATAGGAAGTGTTTTTAACCAATGCATTATCTTGCTGGAAAATTTAAACCTCCCTTTTAAAGTACTAAGTAGTAATAGTTCGTTTCTTTTATTTCCCAGAAGTCTGAAATTTATGTGTTGCAAGAATAAGCTTAATATTTAATGAGAGTACTTTTACCAATTTATTAATTCTATCAAGTTCCTTAAAAAAGAAAAAAAAATCGGCCGGGCGTTGGTGGCGCAAGCCTTTAATCCCAGCACTCGGGAGGCAGAGGCAGGAGTATTTCTATGAGTTTGGGGTCAGACTGGTCTACAGGGTTCCAGGTTAGCCAGGGATGTTAACATAGAGACACCCTATCTCGAAAAAGCAACAACAACAACAAACAAACAAAAAACCTGTCTCGTTATTGTCCTTTGTTTCAAACATCATCTTGTAAATGGTTTGTTTTCAGATTCACTTAGCACCTCAATATTTAACAATAGCAGGCGTTTTATTTGCCACAAGCACGCGGTTACATGGGAAGTGGACTCCCGACCACGAAGGCATTCCGTTTAGCAGCTGAACGATCCCAGTGAGCTCGGGTGATGGGGAGGACGCGCTCGTGAAAAGAAGGGACGGAGGCAAACAAGCGCACCTCACGTCGCACACGAGACGAAAACGGCGGTGTAGGCGGCTTCGCCGAATGTCACGGAGCGGGCCAACAGCGTGTCGGGGTGCGGCCTCGGGAGGCGGAGGCCGGCCCGCAGAGGGTCCCTGCTACCCCTCGGAGGCCCAGGCCGCTCCTCCTCCTCCCTCCCTCGAGGCTGCACGCCGAGTCGCGCGTGGGCACCGACGCCAGCCAATCCAAGGGGGCCCAGGGAGGCGGCGGCCTCGATTGACACGACTGCGAACCAATGAGAACACAGGGCCCGGCCAGGCCTCCGCCCCAGTGGGCCGGCTCTCGGCCGTCTTCAGCCAATCGCGACCAGCAGCCTCGGTTCGGTGGGTGGTCCCGCGGCCGGGAGGGCGGCGGCTGTTGAGCGGCTCCCGTGGAAAGGTCCCTGGGCGGAACGTTCTCTGTCGGAGGAGGAAATGAGTTTAGCTCTGAGGTCGGTACCGAGGAGGCCGCGTCTCCGTCCCGCAGTGGGCCAGGCAGGGCGGGCGCGGGAGGGAGGCAGGGCCCGGCGCGGGTGCCGAGCGTCACGGCGGTGCCCGCCTCCCCCGGCCGGCCGCCCAGTCTCGCGAGCTTCCCTCCGGCCTGTGCGGGACTCGGGCCTGGCGGCCGCCTGCCCCAAACAAACCCGGGACAGCCAGGCTCTCCCCGCCGTCCCCGTGCCCCGCGCGTCGACCGCCCCCGGCGCATCTGGTGCCCCTGATTTCCGCCATCCACGTCCAGACGCCCGCCTTCCCCTCGGGCTCCCATTGGCTCCTCACCCTGTCCATCCCGCGTGCAGGCGCTGTAGCCGGGGCCACAGGGGTGTGGCCTGGCGGGGGTGTGGCCCGGCCGCCTCCGTCCCCAGCCCGCCTTCTGCCTGCCCTTCAGGTGTTAGAGGAGCAGACACGATCAGGCGGGTTTCAAGCTTTCAAGCTTCCATCTGTTATTAAAACGTCGCCGATAACACGTGTGGTGCCTCGTTTAAACGTTTGCACTGCTTCCGCATTGGCAGCCTCTAAGGCAGACGTTTTCGGCTCTAAATGCCCCTTTTAGACTTTCTTTTACGCTTCTCCAGAGGTTTTTTTTTTTTTTTAACTATGTGACTAGACTTAAAAAAAAGACTTATTTTTATTTCAAATTATATGTATGTGTGCCTGTTTGGATGTATACGCATGAATCCCAGTGCCTAAGGAGGCAAAAAGAGGGCGTCACCTCTCTTGGGGCTGACATTAAAGGCTGTTGTGAGTTGTCTGACATGGGTGCTGGGAACAGAACTTGGGTCCTTCTGTTAAGTTATTCAAACTCTTAACCACAGAGCTATCTCTCCAACCACTGATCCTGAACTTCTGATTGTCCTGCCTCTGCCTCCACAGTGCTGGAATTACAGGTGCGCACCACCATACCCAGTGTGTGTGGAGCTGGGAATAACTCCAGATCTTTGCATATGCTAGGAAGACAATGTAGCAGCAGAGCTACGTCCCCATACCCACCGTGTGTGTGTGTGTGTGTGTGTGTGTGTGTGTGTAAACGAAGACATGCAACCAACCCATCGTTTGTGTGTTAAGCGAGGGTTACAGCACTTTTAAACCCCACACAGACGCAAGTACGAACATGAGATGCTGTTATTTTGGGCGTCTAGTGTTTGTTTGTTTAGGTACTTTTATACTTTGGCTGTCTAATATGGAATAGAAACACAAAGCGCTGTTAGAAATGTATAACCTGAAAGCATTTTGAACTTGGAGTGTTAAAGTGTCTCACCTGTTAAGCTTTATGGTTGATTTTTGTAGTAATTGTGAGAATTTAATTATAAGCTGTCCAAGGTAAAGCATATATCGTGGTTGTCATTTGTGAAGTTCTGTTTGTTTTCATGCTCTTGGTAGGTAACATGAATAGCAACTCTGGTGCTTTGGATTTCGGTACAGGACCTGACTTAGGGACAGCTGCTTTAATCTGCAGACTAGTCTACTCTGACTTAGGGACAGCTGCTTTAATCTGCAGACTAGTCTACTCTGACTTAGGGACAGCTGCTTTAATCTGCAGACTAGTCTACTCTGACTTAGGGACAGCTGCTTTAATCTGCAGACTAGTCTACTCTGACTTAGGGACAGCTGCTTTAATCTGCAGACTAGTCTACTCTGACTTAGGGACAGCTGCTTTAATCTGCAGACTAGTCTACTCTGACTTAGGGACAGCTGCTTTAATCTGCAGACTAGTCTACTCTGCTTTGTTGACGTTTCGAAAACCACTCTCTCCTAACTGAGTTGGGTTGAAGTGGACTCAACACGTTTTTCTGTATCACAGAAGTGAGCTTGTTCTTGACAAAACAAAGAGGAAAAAACGAAGAGAGCTCTCTGAAGAACAGAAGCAAGAAATTAAAGATGCCTTTGAGCTCTTTGATACCGACAAAGACCACGCGATAGATTACCATGAATTGAAGGTAACAGTGTACTTCATGACACATCTCTTTTGTTTAAATGAATTGCATTTTTGAATGCTGTTTAAAGTCTATTTTAAAAGCTTGTTTTAGAACCCTGAGGCTGTTTCAGTACCCACCTACAGGGGCTGCAATAAAACTGAATAAAAACCCCTAATATGGCTTTTAAAAACTCTTATGTAAATGTAAAAGTACATCCTGGTGAAAGTATGACTTTTTCATTCATCCAGGTAAAAGAACAGTTCTTAGCTTATTCTTCCCATTTTTGGTTTCTTCTGGAGGACGGTGTGGCTCAGATTTTTAAAAAACCATTTATGTGGCATGTGTCTGTGCAGGCATGCACACCACATTGTATGACATGTGGAAGGCAGAGCTGGGCTTTGTGTGTCTTCCATCCGTGTCTACCTTACTGCCTGGAGACTGGGAACCTCCCTGAATTGGAGGCTCATAGCCTAGGTTGGCTAGAGAGTGAACTCTGGGGTCACACCCGTGTTACCCCTCAATGCTGGGGTCCCGGGCACCTGCAGCCCTGCCTGTCTTTTATGTGGGTGGTGGCAGTTCCCATCCTGGTCCTCGTGAGAGCAGGGCAAGTGCTTTTACCCACTGAGCTATTACTTAAGCGCAGCACAGACAATTTTCAGATTAAGAGAGTGTTGCCTTTGCTCTGACATTTCCGAGATTGAAAATGTTGTCTTTCAAGCTTTTATTATTTATCTTTATTTTATATTTTTGTTAGACAAGGTTGTCCTGGAACTCAACTTTGTAGACCAGGTTGACCTTGAACTCACAGATTTGTTTGCATCTGCCTCCCAAATGCTGGGGTTAAAGGCCTGCACCACCACCGACTGGCTTGAATTTTCAAGATAATACTGACACACTCGTTTTTTTAATTCTTTTTTAAATTATTTTATTTAGGTTAGAAACAATCTTGTTTCACATGTCAATCCCAGCTCCTTCTCCCTCCCCTCTTCCCCTGCCCTCCCCACCAGGTCCCCCAGTCTCCCACCCAATCTCCACTCTGATCACCAAGGAGGGTGAGGCCCTCCATGGTGGATCTCCAGTAACTGTCATTTTATCCAGGGCAGGGCCTAGACCCTCCCCCAAGAGTCCCAGCTGAGAGAGCCTCCCTCATTGTGGCATGGGCACTCAAAGTCTATTTGTATGCCAGGGATAAATACTACCCAAGGCCCCATAGATTATGTAGGCCTCCTCACTGACACCCACATTCAGGGGGTCTGGGTCAGTCCCATGCTTTCCGCACAGCCATCAATCTGGAGAGTGACACAGTCTTTCTCTGTTTTCTTTGCTACGAAGGATGTACATTGTCTGATGCCTAATGTTGATACATGCTGAGGGACCATGTCAAATTTAAGGCAAACTAGTAATTTAAAATTACTAGTAAAGACAGAAGGGGAAATTGGTGAGGATCTTACATTCCTTATATCCAGCCTAGTAACATTTGAGATCTTGTAGTAGCCTTAACTATTCACAGTAGTTTTCATTGGCAGCATTGTAGGGGTGTTAGACGATCCGAGTCGGGGTAGGATGTCTGACAGCAGTGACAGGTGTGGCCCTTTAGCCTCACTCGGGTCATCCTTCAGCTCCTTCCCCATCACACTGTTCTGTTGTAGCTGCAGCCACCTCCCCACATAGCGTGAGTTACTCCTGTACCGTGTCCTCCATTCGTTGTCATGACGCTCATGCTTGGGGACTTCACTGCGTAGCTGGAGCTCCTTCACTCCTGGCTTGCCTTTTACACTGCCCTCCCTTAAGTTTATGTCTTTCCAATTCTTTGACCGTGTCCACTGCTCATAAGCCTTGGCTGTGTGTTTTCTTTTGAATACTTTTCTCTCTTGCTAATTACTTGTACCCAGACTCTTCCCATCTAGAGAAGGTGAACACCTGTTCATTGTCCCTCTGTCCTGCTTCCTTTCAGCACCTCTTGTAATCCCACACCCTCTCTACTGCCGCTTCACCTGCTCAGTAAGGGCTGAGTCAACTGTATACTTCAGTACTTTGTGGTACATCTTCCCTTTCCTGTTACTGACAGCAAGTGCTTCTGTTTAAATTACCCTGAGGCTCATTGCTTGGTAGCTAATCATGGTTGCTCTGATGAACACTGTTTGTTGAGAAAGGATTTCTTTTTCTTTGTTTTTTTGTATCCCACACTACTTTCAATTTATGACAATTGTGTCTCAGGATCCTGAGTGGTAAGATTATGATGTTCGTGCAATTTTATGCTTTTTACTACTTTTACTTTTTTTTTTTTGTGGCAGGGTTTTTCTCTGTAGCAGTTCTTGATGTTTTGGAACTCCCCTTTGTGGACCAGGCTGGCCTCCAACTCACAGAGATCCGCCTACTTCTGCCTCCCTATTGCTGGGATTAAAGGCATGCACCACCATGGCAGACTGCTTTTATTGTTTTGGTTAGCCTTTTAATATTTATGACATGTCTTTGATCCTTTGGTAACAAATGAATTGTTATCTGTGTATTAAGTGCATTGTGTTATGTATTTTGTGTAATTTTTTAATTAGTTGGTCATATAAAACAGCAGAATGTCAATGAAAAAATTTCTATTTAATTTCAAAATGAAAAACCCATATAATATTTTGTTATTTTAGAGATATAAAAATGCAGAGTAATTGTGCTTTAGTAATATATTGTCATCTGGTAAGATGTAAAGTTTCTTAGAAATCAATGTTTGCTTCTTTTGTAAAGAGAGCTTTATAATTTGTTTTTCCCTTTTAATCCAAAAGGTGGCAATGAGAGCCTTGGGTTTTGATGTGAAGAAAGCTGATGTACTGAAGATTCTTAAGGATTATGACAGAGAAGCCACAGGCAAAATCACCTTTGAAGACTTTAATGAAGTTGGTGTGTACTTAAGTGGTCTTTGTTACAAGTATTTGTTGGGAAATCATGAGGTTTGTTTGTTTCCAAAGACCACAATGCCTTGAGCTGTGCTATGAGAGTTACTTTTGATGACTTTAACAAGCATTATTGTGTCACTTCTTCTGGTTTACTAATATGTCACTAAATGGCGACCAAAACATAAAGTTTAGTATGCTGATGTTGAGGAAGTATTTCTGAAGACTGCTGCACTGTGCAATTTTTGTTGGTAAAGCAGAAGAAGACAGAGAAAGGAGGACTCAGTGTCTTGGTGGGAGATGGGGAGATAGAATACATCTTCTAAAGTGGACAGTTGCCTACAATGTTATACAAAGATTATATAAATATTTAGGTTCAGTTTTGGTAAGCTACTGTTCTAAACCAATGATACTACTTTATGTATCATAATCTAAGCATGCCGTGCAGTTATTTTTATATATTTAAAAAATTGAAAACTAATGCAGTTATCCATACATGCAAAATCTTTATTTAATCTTAAAGGCAAAGTACTCAGACAAAGAAAAAGAAATGGTAACTAGAAAACAGAAAATAGATTTATATTCTCTCTTTCTCTCATTAAAAATCTCATACCTAAAGGCCAGGAGACAGAAGTAAGATGGCAAATCTAAGAGGAATAAACATTTCTCGTAACACTGACAACCCTCAACTTAGGAACTAGTGCATGCCTGCTTAGAGAGGCAGACTGTCCACTGTAGCAGCAGATTTATTTCCCCTTCTAATTTGTAGAACTGTTTCCTTGAGAGGAGAGCAAGAGCCACCATTCCCTCACAGTGTAGGCGGCCTCCTGAGGTTGCTCACAGTAGCCAGGTGCTCACATGCGTCATTTACAGAAGCCAGTTGGCAGTTCATCGTGGAGATGATGCGGCTAAGACATCGCTGTTATGGAGCCAGATGCCCTCCCTGGCTTCGGGATCTTGGTTCTGATTCTTAAGTGTCTGTGAAACTTTGTTAGTTTACTTGTCTGTGCTTCGTTTTCTCCTACAAATGGGGATAGTGTAATGTGTCAGGGTTAAGGAGTTGATTAGAATGGGAAATGTTAAACGCTGCAGTATATAGGAAGAGCTACGTGCTGTTATGATTAGAATAATCCCCACTCAAGAGGCAGAGGTAGCCCATGCACTGTGAGTTTGAAGTCAGTCTGCTCTGCATAGTGAGTCCCAGGCCAGCTAGGGAGACCCTGTCTCCAAGAGAAAGAGAGGGGCTGGAGAATGAATCCTTTGTTTTGTTTGTTTCTGAATTCAGAAGTTGGAAATATATTTGTATTGTTGGGACATTAAAACATTCTATTCTATGTTCTCATTGTCTTATTTTGTTTTTCATTGTTGAAGGCTTCTTTAAGCATTGCTATTTATAGTTTTGTCAAACATCTTTTACATAAATACAATTTTTAGAGTTGTAATTTTTATATTTTAATACTTAAGAACAGAGTTCCATACTACCTAGACCTTAGCCTTATGGACCATTTGTTGTTGCCTAAGGACACTGACCCAGGGTATTTCCAGATGAGCCTGGCACTTCCTGAGCTTTCCCATTGTAAGAAAAAAGAATTAATGTCCATTCATTGCAAGGGTAGTTAGCATCATTCGGCTAATGAGTAACAGGTGTTTCAGGAGTTGCTGCCTTTAAAGTAAGAGTAGAAGTGAGATGTTTTTATACGTCATCTGTTCCTGGCTTGTACTACTTACATTTTAAATTCTATGTAAAATCCAATATTGTATTATTTCCATTTTGATTATTTATCCAGCACTGAAATTTTTCATTTGGTGGGAAGAATGGGAGTTAGTTAACATTACCAAGAAATTGATTTTAGGACCTTAGATTTAGGTATGGGTGACTAGAACAAACTCTGGTTCTGTGATAGAGGGAGATTCTTAGGTAGGGCGGAAGTTGTCAAGTGTAGCCCTGGGGCTGAATTTGACTGCATACTCTTTACTACCTCCCATTTATTTATGCTGCATTTCTGCTACCACGAATGAGTGACTACTTTAGACTGTGAGCTTAAGTACCCAAAGCCTAAAATGTTTTTCATCTGGCATTTTATGGGAACTCTCTCTCAAGGCTTCATCCAGAGGAACTAAGCCTTTGCAAAGGGAATTTTTGATTTAAATCTTCAGGAATCTAAAATTGCCAAGAAGATTGTAGGAGTAGAGGAGATGCAGTTGGGGCAGAGAAAACAAGGCTGAGTGGAGATTTGATCTCATGTGGTCCCTCTGCTGGAGAAGTCAGAACACTGGGAAGGCAGAATTGGGTCAGACTGATAGGCTTAAGTAATGTACTAAAATTTACTTTAGTCAGTAGAATTTACAGGTGGGGATACCATGTTTTACAAAAGTAGCTGATGCGAAGATTGAAAGTGAGCTGAAGAGATTCTGAGAAGACAGAAAGTTGTAGACTTTATGGTCAGGGTTTCTAGATGAGAACAAAGAGGGTTGAGTTTGAGAGTAAAATAAGACAGTATCTTCAGAACTGTAGTGTCCAGTGGCAAGTGGCACTTATGGGGCCAGAAGCCTGACCTCTGTGTTAGAGTGAGTAAATGATGCAGCTGCCATTCAGTCAGTGGAGGTCAAGGGGACAGCGAAGTCCAGAAGTGGCTACGGAGTGACTTGAAGGCCAGTATTTGTGAGTTTGAAATAAATGTTGTGTATCTGCATAGGCACTTTCTAACATTGTTTTTCATGGTTTTTGATTTACTTTTAATGCAGTGCTTCAGAATTAGCTGTTTCATTACATGATTTTTATAATGTCTAGTAATTTTGATGGGAGGACATTTCTGACAGTGTAGTTAAATCATGTATCTTTGTAGTTTGGTTATAATGTGCTTTATGTCAATAAAATACATTATTGCACTATAAAATTAAAACAAAAAGTGGTTGAATGGATAGAAATTTGGAATTTTGTGAAACAGGTGATACCTTGACTGTGTGGGTGTTACCTGCTTTTAAGTCCTCCTACTGGATTGCAGGTGTGAACCACCGTGCCTGGTTTGTTTCCATTGGAAAAGCTATTTCTTGCGAATAGTACTTGTAGAACAGAAATGGAAGGTGAAGGTGTGGAGGAATGTCACTATGAAAACTTTGTTGGATGATGCTCTAGTTGCTCAGAATTTATGGACAGTCCTAAGAAATCTGAACTCTGTGGGAGAATATTGGTAGGCGATTAGATAGACACATCTATCTGAAATCCTAATAGAGTGTCAGTGGGCAAGTGCTTGTGCATCTTGGTTTCCCATCTGTTGTTTCTTTAAGTGCATTAGTATTTTCGGCAGTCTGCCTTTCTGGTTTACCTGTCATGTATGTTACTTAATCGATGAAATTTCATAACACTTTTTTCTTGTCCTGCTTTCTTGTTGGCACTGAATTCAAAATAAGTTGAGTGTGTGCCATAGAGTTAAGTGTGGTATTTTATTTTGGTGTTATGGCTGTAGGTATGCCAATTCTTTTTACTGAATATTTATGAGCTTTGATTTGCATACTTAGTAATATACTTCAATTAGTTTCTTGGAAACCTTTTTTTGGATAAAATTAATGGCTAAAAGATAATTTTGGGTATATGTGTAGTTGATATGTACCATTAGCTTGGCTAGGTGCTTATTCAGCCAAATACAGATGAAATAGAAATAGACAACAACTTGTAGAAGACTTAAATCCTATTTTTTTCACTTTGGGGTCATTAAATATTCCAGTATTTTCTGACTACAGGCATTTGAAATTTTCAAATGAATCTATAGATCCCAATAGGACCAAATTACTTTTGATGGTGTAATGAAAATAATAAATGCCTTTCCCTGTAGTGGAACAGCACGTGGAGTTGCTTCAGAACTGTTAACCTAGATATTGTGAGAATTCTGTTAAGCAATATCAAATTTTATAGATGTCAATTTTTATTGACTATTGATTAAAGGCTTATGCTGTTGAGGTATATACACTTAGTATGTTGATATTTGGCTTTAATATATTAAGTCTGAAATGATTCACTTCTATCTATTTAACTCGTTTGAGAATTATTATTTTGTTATAAAAAGAAGACATGATTTAACCCCCTTCCAGAGCTGTGGGTTTTGTGATTAGTTTTAATTGTTTTAGTCCATCTTTAATGTTGCTGAAAGCCGGCTTTTTAATCATGAAGATGCTAATAGTATTTGCACGCTCTAACTTGTGTTATGCTTGTATTGGTGGTGGCAATATCTTTGATCAGTCCCTATGTGTGAGTTGGGTTAAATTTGAGGAAGAATCAGGGTGTCACCTGGCTAACAGCTTTCACCTGCTTAGTGCTCATTGTTCACTTAAACTCGATGGCCTGACAGAGGTGGAGCAGTAACTTTTGAAAAAATTGTTTTTATGGACTTAAAATTATTTTATATGTTATATTTTACTGTTGTGAGTGTCTTGTTCACATGTGAACGTGGTGCCTAGGTTGGAAGAGGACTTCGGATCCCGTGGAACTGGAATTATAGAACTGTTGTGATTTGCCATGTGGTTGCTGGGAGTTGAACTCATATGGTCTGTAAGAACAAGTGGTCCTAACTGCTGAACCATCTCTCCACCTCCAGTTTAATTCTTAGTAATAGTGGGATTTAAATGTATGTATGTATGTATGTATGTATGTATGTATGTATGTATGTATATGTATCATAGAGTGTATGTGTGTGTGTAGTCCCTTTTGACCTTTGTAAATATAGTTTTGCTTACATTTGTAATGTTTATAGACACTAAAAGATTACCATTTAGAGTCTGGCTTTGGAATTAGTTATCTCTGAGTTTGTGATCTACTTTGACGTCTAACTATAAGATGGAATGTTGCCAGACTCACAGCTGTCACCTCATTTAATAGCTGATTTTTACGGATGATTGTCCTCTGACTCAAAAGTTTCTTTTAACTCTAGTGACAGACTGGATATTGGAAAGAGACCCCCATGAAGAGATATTGAAAGCGTTTAAACTGTTTGATGATGATGATTCGGGTAAAATAAGCTTGAGGAATCTTCGCCGTGTCGCCAGAGAATTGGGTGAAAACATGAGTGATGAGGAGCTCCGAGCTATGATAGAAGAATTTGATAAAGACGGCGATGGAGAAAGTAAGCTTTGCTTTACTGTTTTCTAAAATGAGTTTGCAAGACTACAAGCAAATTTTCTCTCCCTTCTCCCCCACGTTTTCTTTCTCCTTGGTTTTTGAAAATGAGCCTCATGTTGCCTTGAACTTATTTCAAGTTTGATCTTGAACTGATAATCCTTTTGCCTCAGTCTCCTGAATAGATAGGAGTCCAATTGGGTGCCAGACTCTGTGAGCTTCTATTTATACTGAAGCAGATCTTTAAAACAGCTATGCAAGTTATGATGTGAAATATTATACATACTTCTCTGAAGATGAAATAACACCAGAATTTAGCTATTTACTAAAATTTTCATGCCTTTCCTCTCAACCTGCTTGTACTTCTGAACTATACGTAAATTAGTTGATTTTCTTTCAGCCACTTCTAATTTTTTTTTGTAAAGTTTGTTTTCTGCTTCTCTGATTCAGGCCCTGATTTCCTTTTAAAATATTATTGCATTCTTTCCCTGGCTGACTATGAGGTGCAGTACTCTGTGTGCTACCTGTCACCCACAGGCATGTAGGTGTGTCTTACAGTCTTCCCATTGCCCCCTGGACTTAGAAATCTCCAATCTCTTTCTTCATTCTACTGATGATATTCTTTCCCTAAACTGCAGTGTATGCTGTCGTTTCTGTGTTCAGACACTGAAGAGAGAGCCTTTCCTACCTGCAGAGTGCAGTGCAAAGCTCCCCTATGCCAGGCCTACACTCAGTACCTGGTTTATTTCTGCTGCGTTCTTCTTTGTGCTAGCTCTTGCATACAGAACACTGTATACCGAAGGCAGTTTGTGGTGCCTTTCATAATGATGCTTATTCGTCTTCAGGGCCAATTGCCCACTTGTCTGTTGAAGTGTTACCAACCCACTTTCCCAACCATGTCCATTTGAAGCGCCGTCTTGTCTCAAAAACCTCTACAAGGGTGCCTGTGGTTAGTGAGGGTTCCACTGAGCCACTAGCATTTAGAGGAGCAAATGGCTTTGATACTTTAATATATTTAATAGGGATCCTCTTGGCTGCAAACCAAATTTTGTATTTTTTTTGCATTTAAACTACTGAAGATAAAAATACTTGCCTTTTTGTGACCTTTAGTAGCTCATTTGCTCTTATAAATGTTTAATGCTATCCAGTTTTTAAGAATAACTATTTTTTTCAACTTTATGGACTTAAAGTAATAAAGACTGAATGAGGATATGAAGATAAATAATATATACTACAAAACAGACATAAATACATAGGCATATCTAATAATATAGAAGGACTAGCAACCTAGTCTCTCAATATAAGTATAAATAATATAAAACAAAATGCAGTGTGTGCTTTTATGAAGATGAATGCAGCATTCAGGAAGCCATAGCGGACTACTTTTTAAATAGTGATGGTAATGATGGTTGGTGTCTTAGCGTTACTATGGCTGTTAGGAAACACCATGACCAAAAGCAACTTGGGGGAGGAAAGGGTTTATTTGACCTACATACCTGAGTCATAGTCCATTGAGGGAAGCCAAGGCAGGAACTCAAACCAGACAGGAACCTGGAGGCAGGAGCTGATGCAGAGAGCATGGAGGACTTCTTTCCAGAGGGAAGAATGGCTCAGTCACAGTCAAAGCAAAACCAAACTCTCAACTGTGTAAGTAACTCAGTATCTGATGTCTGGGATCCATCTGCTTACAACCTTCTGTGTTCCTCCGAAGGGCATGGGTCACTTTTGGCTCTGCCATCTGCAGCCACACAGATTGTCTCCTAAACTCAAGCCAGTTCCACCCCAAGGCTGCTGCTGCTCTTGGTGGTCATCCCATGATACTGGCATCTTGAGCCCTCTGGGGTCTTTTGCTGCATTGGGTGCACGTCATCAGTTGCTTCTCCTGGCTGTGTTCAGGGACTGCAGCCCTGCCACAGTGCCGATCCTCCACTGCTCTCCATGTTCCCCTTATGCCTTCAAAACTTGTACCACCTGGATGGTCTCACATCAGACCAGATTTGCTTGCCAGCATGAGGTACAGACTTGGCCACCTCTGGGCCACAGTTTCTGTGTGCTAACTCTGAGGAAACTCTTTCTAGAAGACTTCACATGAGCAATGCTGGTCTCTTCTTAATCTCCACTAAGCTGACCAGCATCCATTGCCCCAGCAGAGCAGAGGCTTCACTAAATGGGTTTAGTGGTTTTCACTTTAGTGGTTTTGGTATCTTGTTGGTCACAGATGATTCTTCAGCCCCAGCTAACCAGAACCACAGATTCTTAACTCAAAATATGCAGCTACCCCAGTAGAACCTTTAAGTGATTCTCAAACTTCCATCTGGAAGGTCACAAGCCAGGCCTTCATTTTCTTCTTATCTTCCAGTCTCCCACAGAACAGCTCACCAAGCTTTAAACACTCCGAGGCTTTTCTAGACCAAACTTCCAAAGTCCTTCCACCGTTCTCCCCAAAGCAATAGGGTCAGATCTCTCATAGTAATAGCCTACTTGCCTGGTACCAATTTCTATCTTAGCGTTATTCTTGCTGTGATGAAACACCATGACCAAAGCAACCTGGGGAGGAATTTAAGTTACATATCTTGAGTCACAGTCCACTGAAGGAAGTCAAGCAGGAACTCAAAAAGGGCAGGGGCCTGTGCAGAGGCCATGAAAGATTGCTCTTACTGGTTTGTTCCTCATGCTTGCTCAGCCTGTTTGCTTATAAAATTTGAGACCAATAGCACAGGGGTAGCACCACCCACAATGGGCTAGACCCTACCTCCCATCAGTCAGTAATTAAGAAATGCCTATAGTCCAATGTTATGGAAGTATCTTCCCAATCAAGGTTTTCTCCTCTTAAATGACTAACCTGTGTCAAGTTGACATAAAACTAATCAGCCCAGTAAGCATTTTTTAGCAGCTCCTATATAGAAGCAAACATAGCTTTTAATCTATATTACTGTTTTCATAATCACTTTTGTAAAATGGATATAGGATTATATCTATATACACATAACATAGATGCATATATAGTAGATGAAGAGGCTAAGACACAAGTTATCACAGAGCTTATTCATGGTGGTACCAAAACTTAAACTCAGTTTTCCAAATGGCAGAGATTCTGTATTGTTTGAGATAGAAAGTAACATGCTCCCTAGACCTCCAGTTATGGGAAGCAGTGTATTAATGTATTGACTGGTACTTCTAATGATAAGCTTTGTTTTTTCCTCTTGAAGCCAGATGGTCTCTCATATACTTTACATGCACGTGTGTGTATGCACGCGCGTTTGGGAGTCATTTCTCACCTTCACAGTGACTGCTGTGTTTGCTCCTGCACTGTGACCCCGGCTAGCTAGTCTGTGAGGCGTTTCCCATCTCTGTAGGAATGCTTAAACCACAGGTGTGCACCAGCCCATCCAGCTTTTTACCTGGGTTCCAGGACTGAGCTCTGACCGTCAGGTTTGCGTACTAATGCTTTTACTGCTGAGCCATCTTCTTGCCACTCGGTGTTTATTTTGAGAAAGATCGTGTTAGAAGACCTGGCTTACCATCTGAAGCCTCTCTGGTAGTCAGGTAGCTCACTTGGTTCCCTTAGTTACTTTCTTTTTTGTACTTAAGTCTTATGGTTTTAGACATTAAATTATAAAATAGATTAAAATATTTTTGAAATACTTTTAAACTTTAAAGTGTATGTAAATAATAGAAAACAACTATTTGTGATTTAGGAACTTCTTTTTGAAGCTCAATTTGAAGCTTGATTATTAAAATTTTATATTTTAAGAAAAGTAAAAATAGTGACTAAAACAAGTACTTAGATTTTGAGTATCTTAATCATAATTCTGTTCAATGTTAATGATTTCTGATCAAATCATTTGAGGCTCTTTTTATTGCTTTCTGAAGAAGATAATATGTTCTGTTTTGGTCTAGAAGCCTCAGTGTAGATGGTTTCAGTCGAGAGTATTTATAAGGGTCCATTCATTTGGGATTCTTGTCTTGGGAATATTAGTTGGGGAAGAGTGGGTCCTGTTTTCATAAGCTCATCAGATGTGTTATTTAGCCACAGAGCTCACAACCCCAATTTCTCAGGTCCTTGACTTACGGGAAGAGTAGTGTAGGTTTGCATTCTGTTCCTCCATGCCTCCCAGAGTGCCTTGTAAGTATTTAAGACTGAACAGGAGTTCACAGACATCTGCCTGCTTCTGAGCATCTCATTCATCTTAACTCACAGTTGTTTTTCTGGGAACATGTTCTCTGCCTGGGCTTGCGACAGCATTTCCCCACCTTGGCTTTCTTTCCAATTTCTTTCCAAACGCTGTATTTTAACTTACCGTCCCATTCGTGATTTGCTTATATTTAAAAATTCCTCATTAATGGTTTCTTCTACAATAGTATTTCCATATTTATAATAGATTATTTTATGTGTCAAGCATTTGTTCTGTTTCAGACCTAATGTAGTTACTGAGCTAGCTCTGGAATTACTCCATTAATCCCTGATGTATATGCTTTAACTCAACATTTTCTAAGCTACTTGAGAGTAACTTTACCTTATACATAGTAAGGATGTGACTAATATTTTAGCAGTGACTAAGAATTAGATGTTTCAGATTTACAATACTATTGTTTCAGTTAACAGTAATTGACGTGTATTCACTTCTTCTGTTTGATTCATGTACATGTTTTGATGCATTATACAATACCTCGTGTGGTGTTGGCTTCAAAATGTTTGATTCAGTAAATCAATGTCTAGGATTTAAAGAGAAACCGTCTAAAAATATCCTCTTATAGTTTACTTTTCAGACGAAGAAGAGGAGATGCAGAACTGTTTCATACAGAGCTGTGATTAGAAACCAGGGCTTTATTTTCAATGTGGTGGTTTTTTTCTTTTTCCTTTTTTGCCATAGTGAAGATTGCTGTCCATAGCTTGTGTCTTAAGGACTTATTAAGTCTTGACATGCATATAATCACCTGCTTTATATAGGAAGCTTTCTTTTCTAACATTCCTGTATATTAGGGGATGTATACTTAGGAATTATATTTAGGTTGTTGTTTTAAATACATTTTATGCATTAAAATTTCTTACTAAATTTTATTTATAATTTTGGTAATGTGTCAAATAATTATCCTAGTGAGATTTCCTGTATTTTTAGTTTTCTAGTTTTCTAGTTGCTATATATTAATCTGTTTTTATTTTTATCAATTTACTATTTCTGTTAATGTTTTTGAAGGTACAGGACTTCGTTTCAGTTATTTCTTTCTTCAAATAAAGTTTAATGTCAACAATTCACCAAGTTTTATAGTTTTAAAATATTTTCATTATTTAGAATTCTGTTGGTTCACGTGCATGGTATTGGCAGACTTACTTATAAAGTAAGCCTTACTAAATGTATTAGTAAAGATTATAAAGATGGGTTGTTAGACTACTTACATTAGACTATCACTTTTTAAACTGTTTCAGCACTTTAAACTGTGACTGACTTTTATTGTAACCTATGTCATCTGTTGTCCCTACTGATACTCATCTATTGATAATGCTTATCTGTATATTTTTATTCTAGAAGTTATGTTTGACTTGTAGAGTTTTTGTATGTTGTGAAGTTTAATATGGTATAAAATGATATACTCACTGGTGAAAGAAAGTTTCTGTGTTTCTGACCATTACTTTGTCTTTCTTGTCACAGTAAATCAAGAGGAATTCATTGCTATTATGACTGGTGACATATAAAGGATTATAAGAATCAACACCAAAATGTTGCAGTTACCATCTATATTCTACTTTTGTGACTGAAGTCCTGTTAAAAAAAATCCAACTTAGTTCTTCATCCAAAAGGACCAAAACTAAACATCCTTTTATTTACATTTCACTGCTGTTAAGTTTCTTTGTATGAACAATCTTGTTAGCATCAATAGTTTTAACTTCATGTTTGTAATACAGGTTTATATAAAGCTTAAAAATATCAAATCATGTGTTGTATATTATTTGGAAGCTTTTAAATTTAGCTTTAGCTAATTGCTTTTATTTTGGTGCACATGTTTTTTAGACATTCATTAATAAAGGACTTATTTATTTTATTAAGTTTGGTAAATTTCCTATTTTGGATTTCCGAAGTCTGTTAATATTTGGTAGAAGATATTTCAAATCTTTTTGTCTTTACACTTTCAATTGTATTTGAAAATAAATCAGAAAATGCATATGACAATAGAACATTGACTATCACCTAAGGGTTCATCAAGCTTGACATTTTGCATTTCAATGTAGGATAATTTAGTATAGGTCTAATTTCTTCTTAGGAAGAAAGTTGAGTTGTTAATTCAGTCACTTTTCTTTAAATTAAACCAAAAAGAAAATCAGTACAATTTGAGACAGTTGAAATACTTTGAGCCTGCTAGAGTAGTTCAAACAAATAAAGCCAGGGCTTTATTTTATCTGAGGTATGTGTGAAAGTTGCCCCAATGAGGAACACTCAAAACGTTAAGTGTTAATTAGTTATTATATAATTATGTATAAAATCTGTTACATTTTTATTAGAATTTCAGAAATTACAAATGTTATACTGAGACTACGTAAACATTTCTCAGTATGCAATGATTTTTAGGAAGATGACATTTTATAGAATTGAAGATCAGCAGGTTACCTTCATTTTATACTTAATTAACAATATTTTAGAATAGATTTTCTTTATTCCATAATAAAAGAAACCAGGGATACTTAATAGAGTCCCTGGAGGTCGACATTTCTGATTTTAATATGCTTGTAACATTTGTCCAACTCACCACTGTGTCCTCTAAAAAAAGCGATCATTTTCTCTGTATGGCACTACCATAGACTGCCTGTCCCCAGGGTCTTCCAGAAGGTCCCTGCCAACCTTACAGGGAGGACACATGTGCACTGTAGATCATGAATTCTCCTGACTTACTAATGAAAGTCTACTTCTGATAGATGGCACTTTAGAAGAAAAACCATGCAGTGTACATCAACTGAATGCTGAGTGGTAAAAATATTTCCAAATCATATTTTCTACCATTGAAAGCCACCTCAAATTTAACAGCAGGGTAAAGGTTTGGGGTTGGCCTACTGAGTAGTAATCTTTCATTATAAAATACATTTTGATTATTCTCAAAGTTCATACATTTGAAGTTCCTGCCAAACAGTTAGTAGATGCAACCATATTTTAAGCAAGATCTACATTTCCATTTTTTCATTTTCTTTGAAGATTAAGTGTTCAATTAAATCTGAGTAGCTGGCCTAGACTACACTTTATGGGAGATTTCTTCTGTAGCAGTCTTGCTGGGTGATAATTGTTGGGAACCTAAATCCCAAGGGATGATGGGATCATTTTCAACATTGGCAATTAAAACAAAGTAACTCCTTTAAAATTAGTGGGGGAAATAGGAAAGATTTGTATTTTAAGATTTCAAATCTAATCGGCTTCACCACTGTGCCAAAGATGAATATGAGTTGAAAAGACAAATGAAAATACAAACTGTTACAATTAAACTTACTCTGTAGTTTAAATTATTGGTCCATGAGCCCAACTGCCTATAATTCTGTAATTATTTATATTTCTGTAATTATCTTGGAACGTCTGGGATCTTCAGGGCCTCTCAGAACCTTTTAAGTACACAGGCCCAGAATAGCTAGGATATTGTTTGGAGGTAAATTTTTATCATATTTTATTTTAATGCTAGGGATCAGACCTTGCACCTGGTGCACGCTGGGCATGCGCGCCACTGCTGAGCTGTCAACAAGGGTGGATGCAGCTGGACAGGCGGAAGTCACCGGGAAGCCCTAAGCCTGGGGGACTCTGACGGCAGAGAAAGGACCGCCAAGTCATTACTGGCCTGTGGCCTCAAGTGATTTGCATCTGACCTTGAATGTCTGAGGTCCCTCATGCATTTGAGGTGACAATTTTAAATTTAGATTAATTTCTTTGAGTGTTCATACTCGTGCTCCATTCATCTGGAGGAAGTACAATCTGAGGAACGCTATAAATTATACGCTTTTAACACCTGGTTGGAATAAGTTTAAAAATGATGATCTGTTATTCTAGTCACTTGGGTAGTTACTAAGACCCAAAGGTTTCGTTTATTTTTTAGTTGTCAAGATCCTCTTGCTTCTGCCATCTATTTGAGTCTCCACTTTTAAAAGGTGAACTGAGATGAAAAAGATGAAGAAATTCTTTAAAACTTATTTTCCGTTTTATAACTTATATATTTATTCTTTTAAAAATATGTGAGTGGCAAATTTCACAAAAGTATTAGGATTATTAAATTAAAAACAAAATGCCAACTAGAATGAGAAGGAAGAGTTCAGACAACTTTAGTTATCTGAGGTCAGGTAAAGGAATCTTCAGACTACCCACAGGATGACAGTAGAGACCTATAGATTTCAGGGCTCAAGAACCACACTGGGCTTTCATAGGGCTTACGTCCGCTTCCCCTGCTCTGCAGTGTTCCCATGGGCATGTTCCAGTACTCAAAATTTAGGTAACAGGCGAGAGTCTAGAGGTAACAGAGCTTGCTTTAGAATGTGACCTGCAGTGTGCCTGTAGAGTGCAATTCACATACTCCTGTCTCAGTGACATACCTCATATACCAACAAGAGCATAAGCCAGACATGGTGGCTCATGCTGCTGATACTGGTACTCAGGCCAAGGCAGGCTTGGTACGAGTTTGAGATCCATGGTGAATTTCAGGCCAGCCTGAGCTACAGAGTTGACAGTAGTTCAATCCTATCTTCTGCAGGTTGGTTAAGATTATGCATTACTTGCCCTTACTAACTTTAAATGTGGCTCAGGGATTCTGGTGGCTTGAGCACCAGATTACTACAGCAGTAGCTTCCCAGGGTTGCTTGTGTGGTTAAGGGAAACCAGATTTAGGGGAGACATAGAGGAAGCTGCTGGCGAATAATGAACTGCAGAGAAAGGACTGTCGTGTTTACTAGTCAGAGTTTAAGTGATTTGCACTTCTTTACAGGGTTAGGCTGTTTGGGCTCTCCACGACCTTTTAGGTTACAAGAAGCAGTTAATCCTGCCTTGAGAATTACTGTTGTTGTGCTGTGCTGACAACATACATTGATTTGCAGAAGGGCACAGAATGAAGGTGAGTTCCAGGATGCATTGAAGCGATTGAACTTGTGGGTGGTCCTCTGCTGATGAAATTGAGTGGGAGCACGTGTTCCTAAATTCACGTCCAGAACTTGTGCTTCCCTCATCCACAGAAGTTGGCACATGCTTCTCTGACTCTTAGGACAGAATATTGCCTCGTGTAACCTAATAATGTGCACACTGACTTGGTGATTCTCACGGGAGCTTTCAGCAAACAGTAATATTTCTGCCTCACCTCAGGGATCATTTGTCTTGTATGTACAAGAATATAGACCAGGCACAACAAATCTTTGCTAGATTTGCATAATCTAAATCTAGTTCTAAAAGGCATCTTATATTGCAGATTGTGTTAGCTATCAGTTACAGCTTCATGTTTTAGGATTTTGGGGGCAAAGGGGGTTTGATTTCAGCAATTATGAATATTAAGTACACATTTACATGTAGAGAGGATAAGTCAACCTTCATGCTGCCCACTGTCTTTTCTTGGTCACCTTTTTCTTACAACTTTCATGAAGCAATTGTTCAAAGAAGAACAGCACTTCATCAGAATGCTCACACTGCAATTGTTACTTGGAACCATAGAAAAATAGGACACATATTTTTTCAATCTCCACCAGGGGGACCTATTGCTGCAAAAAAAAAAAAAAAAAAAAACCTCAGAGGTAGAACCTGGCATTTTGCAAGACAGTTATATGCTATTATAGTTTTTTATTTTGTTTGTTTTATGTTGTTGGGGATCAGAATAAGAGCCTTGTGTGAGCTAGGCAAGTGCTTGAACCCTGAGCTGTGCCCCAGCACTGCAGGTATTATTTTTAAAATGTATACACCTGTTTGGAAAAAATGTATATTCTCCATAATGGTATTTCATGCTATTTCACCCTACAGAATATGTAATTAGATATACAAAAAATCTGAGGCTTTTGTTATTTGCTAGTGTCAGTTTGTTTAAGTAGAATAATTATGAGATCAAGGTATAGTAAATCTTTGATAATTTCTATTTAAAATATTACATAATTACATGTAGAAAGCAAGAAAAATATTTTTATAAAACATTTGTTTCTAAATTTTCCTAATTTACTATATTTTCTTCTTCCTTTTGCCTGGCATGTAAAGATGATTTTTCTGAAACATTTTCATACTATAACATTTATACTGACAAAAATGGGAAAGTTCTATAACCACAAAATAAATAAATCTATCCCCCATCCCCTTTGGGTTATGAGGACATTTTATTTTGTGATTTCAGTTTATACATGTCTCTCAGCATCAAGTACTACTGTGCTAACTTATACCCATTTTTCTTAATATTCCTTATTTTTTATTGTTCAAATATTGTTCTTGAGGAAGCTCTGTAATTTTTTGTATTGCATGTGTTTTTACCTCACTCATGTGATTACATCCTGACTTTATTGATTAGAAATACTTTATGTTGTGTTTTCAGTGGTGAACAGGTTACAGGCACAGAATAATGTTCCTTTCCCTACTTTTCAGATAAGGAAATGGGGCAGAGAACCATCACATTATTTAGCTAATGTGACATTTTCCGCCTTGTGCTTTTATGGCCAACATTCTTTCTAAAGTATACAGCTGATTAATAACATATTTCAGATAAATAGACTAGCTATTGATCCAAACATGCTTCCTTAAGCAGGCGCGACTAGTGACTTTGTAATTAGAGTGGGCATGTGCATGCTGTTGCAGATATGCTGTATATGAGAAATGCCTTGCTCTGGTAACTGCTTTCTGATTGTTTTAGTTGTCCTTACTAAATATAAACACGCATCTTAGATGTAGTGGAGATAGTTTTTTACACACTATAATTCTATATTTGACTCAACAATGTTGGAATTATAATTTGAACTAATGCTCACACTCATATACAGTATACATGACATAGACTTCCTTAATGCTTATCTGCACATACACAAAGCAGCCCAAGCACAGCAAATGAAATATATCTTAAGA